GATCAGGGGCCTGGAACATCTGCCCTATGAGGAGAGGCTGAGTGAGCTGGGCCTGTTCAGCCTGGAGAAGAGAAGGCTGAGAGGGGGTCTAATCCGTGTCTATAAGTACCTCAAGGGAGGGAGTGCAGAGGATGGGGCCAGCCTCTTTTCAGTAGTGGCCAGCGATAGGACTAGAAGAAATGGCCACAAACTGAAGCATTAAAAGTTCCACGGGGACTTAAGGAAAAATTTCCTAGCAGTGAGGGTGACAGAGCACTGGAACAGGCTGCCCAGAGAGGTTGGGGAGTCTCCTTCTCTGGGGATCTTCAAAACCCGCTTGGACGCAGCCCTGTGCCACGTGCTCTAGGTGACCCTGCGTGTGCAGGGGGGTTGGACTAGATGATCTCTAGAGGTCCCTTCCAACCTTAATGATTCTATGATAGCTGAAGCATTTTCCCATTTTTGCAAAACAGAAGGGTAAAGAAACCCTTCTATGATTTTCCCTTCTGTTGTGTAGCCAGTCTTCTAGAACAAGATAGGAGCAAACTAGTTATCTAAAATTAAACTGTGATTCCAAGTCTAGGAGAGGATTCCTTACCAGATGGGAAGCTTATAGTTGTCCCTACTTAGGTCTGTATCTTAAAGTACCTGAGTCGCAGAAATCACCTCTTAAAAAAGCAAACAGTTCAGCAGTATATGAAAAGGAAAAATTAAGTATCTATACTAAAGTCAAACCCAAGTCAGTGGTATATCTGAAAATAAACTATTAAGTTGATTCAGTCACATGTGTCTTTTCAAGGATAACAAATATTTTACTGAATCATGAACAATGCAAAAATTCTCTCACACTGAATCATTACATGATTCATATAATTGCTACATTCAGTAGCATTCCCTGTACTGTTCTGAAACCTGTGTGCACAAGAATTGGACCATTTTGCTATATATTAAAAAAGTCCGTGACTTATTCAATATGCCTCTTAACTTCCAAACTTAAAGTACCTAACTGTAGATCTACACGGAAGCTGTTAGACAGAAAAAAAATCCTGAAATTCAGATGGACCTCTGATATTTTTCTAATGGTTCCAGCATTAGAACCAAGTTATTAATAGCAGCTGTTGTGAACGTGAACCACTTCT